AGATTAATTAAGCTAGCTAAGAAGAATACTAATATAATATGATACTTCCGTATATGCTATTGTAGACAATGGAGTCACAAATGTAGCACAATCGCTTACTAGCGATCTAGAACTTATTAATAAATGGACAAATAAGTGGCTAGTTGATTTTAATCCAAACAAAACTGTTAACGTTGATTTTAGTCGTAAAAACAAGGTATATCCCCCTATCAAATTTGGGGAACATGGCCCAAACATAATTCAGAATATATCTCATACCCATTTAGGTCTACACTTTCAAAGAGATGCTACGTGGACATTGCATATACAATCAATTCAAGAAAAAGCTACAAAAAGACTAAATATCTTCAGAATGCTTCAGTATAAGGTTAGGCGGAAAACACTTGTCAAAATATATTTTGCATTTATTAGACCTGTTCTGGAATATTCCGACATTGTTTGGGACAATTGTTCTGAAAAAGACTCAAAACTTTTAGAAGATATTCAAGTTGAAGCAGGTGGAATTATCACTGGGTTATGATGTAATTCCTCTCGTTCAAAATTGTATGATGAATTAAGGATCTTTTACAAACAAGAAGGGAGGTTCATGAATTGTTATTGTTTTAAAAAAATTATAAATGGCTATTCACCTCAATATTTGTATGATTTAATTGAGCCTTATCGCCCATCAAATCATTCCTATAACCTTAGAACCAGTGATGCACAATTTAAAGTTCCTCACATTATAACTAAATCATACATGGACAGTTTCCTTCCATCAACAGTTAAAGAGGCTGGGGGATTGTGGCCATTTTTAGACTATATTGATCTCCTTTAGAAGAAGAGCTCCATATGAAGATATAGAAAATGTTCAAATTTTAAAATTAAAATTTTTGAAATTTTTCTTTGCCAAATGATAGTTGACAGCTTAAGATATCATATCTAAAAAATTAAGTTAAATCTGGTGGTTAATTTGTGGTTAATTTGTTGACCCCTCAGCCTCCTTAAAGAAGAGTGGAATAACTTGCCAGATGATATTAGAAATGCCTCTGGAATATCTTCATTCAAAAATCTTTTGAATCCTTATTTTTTGAAAAAAAAAGAACTATTTCCTATTGGAATAAGAAAATACAATATACTACATTGTCAGTTAAGGAACAATGCAAGTATTTGAAGGCAGACTTATATAGCCAATGTTTATCAGAAACACCAGTGTGTGAACACTGTACCGATTCTGTTGAAGATGCTTACCATTACTTTTTCGCCTGTTCAAAATATACATCTTCTAGAGATATACTTTTTTTAAACAATTCAAAATATTATCGACTGTAATTAGGTTTCTGAACTTAAATTATTATTATGTGGTAGTCCTGATCATGGACTCATTACTAATATACAAATTTTTGAAGCATTACATGCATATATAGCAGCAACAAAACGTTTTACTTGAACACTGTCATGTACATGTATGTAACTTTTGTCATTTTTTGTTCAAACCGGTACTTTATTGTATTTTTTCCCTTCTTTTTCCTTGCATTATTATGTTTGTTTAATAAATTTTATACAGTGTATTTACCTTGACCTTGCTGTAGGGAGAGGGCTAAAATAGGCTAGCCTGCTGCCCAATCCCGTTCACTTCATGTGAATAAAATTATGTATAAATAAAAAAAAATACTAATATTGATAATTCACTGAATCAGCCAGGTGTAACTGGTGTGTGTGGTAGGACTGTCAAACTGAAACATTGTTCCCCTACCCTTTCAAACATCTGTTTATATGGAATCTTTTCATTGTACATGTGGCACTTGAACTCAAATAGTAAGTAAGTAAGTAAGTAATTTATTTATTTATAGTGACATGTGTACATAATTAAATCCTTTGTTTACAAACTGTATAAAATAACAATTAACACCCGGCCCATCGGGCCTATATGCCACTTTAAACACAAAATTGAAATACAATATATAAAGAAAATAAAGAGCACAACGTTAAGGGATAAACAAAAAAGTAAATAAACATAATTTTGATATATATACATATATGTATTTTGTATGCTAAGATTGGTAGTGTCTGTTATTAGTAGATAAATATGACACTGAAATACATTCTTATTTTCTGAAGATAACGGACTGTCTCCGCATAAATGAAAAATATAAATATTTTGCAACCTGTCGAGGATAATTTGAAACAAGTATACTTAGTAAATCCATATCTGACCATGCCATTTGATTAAGACCAGTGTTTTCAAAAAGTTTTGAACGATATTCAGAGTACATAGGACAATGCAATAAAAAATGAATTTCGTCTTCTACATTATTTTTAGAGCAAAAGGTGCAAATTCGATCCTCAACAGGTTCCCCATGATATCTACCGGTTTCTATTCGTAGTGGTAAAATGCCACATCTAAATTGTGCTAAAATTGAACGTAAATATTTAGGCATATCAAGTACTACATAATTTTCCCTTCCAAAAGTTGTTTTAAAATAAACGTAAGTCCGCAATTTAGGAATGCTTAAAATCTCATTGCTCCAAAGGTTTGAATAATAATTGTGTATTTTTGATTGAACCATATTTATATTTATCATAAGCTTTGACTCAAAATAATAATCCAGCTCTAGTTGGTGTAATATTTCTTTCAAATCACTGCACCAGTTATTCCTACACTTATTGTAATCAACTTCAAAAACAATTCTTGTAATTCGATCATTGCTAAAGGATAAAACTCTATTCCAATATCTGATTACATTTATCCAACGTCTATACTGACTGGGAATCCATCCAGTGTCTCCATAAACCCCCAGTGTGGGAGCAAAGCGGTGTACCCCAATAAAATACCGAATCGCTCTATTTTGAATATTATCTATTGGTTGGAATTTTTTGAAACCCCAGACACTGGATGCATAATCTAAAACAGGTATTACACAAGAGTAAAATAGTTTTTCATAAGCATTAAACCTGAAATCTTTATTACTATGAATGGAAGATATAATTTTCCCAAGAGCACGTCCCCCTGCTTTAGCAAGATTTTCCGCATTTTTCATGAAATTACCAGTGTGCGTAAACGTTATACCTAAATACTTATAATTCTCAACTGTTTCTAACTTATTAAGTCCAATAGTGAATTCAAAATTGGTTGCTCTTGACCTTGTTTTATTGAAATGTACGCACTTAGATTTATTGGTGTTTATAAGAACTCTCCAACGTCTACACCAGCTATGTAGTTTATTTAACATATATTGTAAATCTTCTGGAGACTTGGCTATTAAAGCAATGTCATCTGCGTATAATAAGATAGACAATTTTCGATCTACTAGTTCTATGCCCAAATTAAGCTTATTAATATCCTGTACCAGATCATTAATGAAAATTGAAAATAAGGTAGGTGATAAATTATCTCCTTGTTTAACACCAGTTTTGCACCTAAACCAATTTGTAATCTTATTATTAACTCTTACACAAGATTCTGAACTTTGGTAAATATTTTTTATCGAGTTGTAAATTTTACCATCTATATTATGTAACAAAAGTTTGTAGAGCATCATATCTCTATCGACAAAATCAAAACATTTTTGAAGGTCAATAAATGCAACATAGAGATTTTTATTGTTTTGAACTAAACTATTCAGTGTAAATAAATGATCTTCACACGAAATATTGTATACATTAAAAAAAACTAAAAGGTAGCCGTTTTTATCAGACCTATAAATAAAGCTCTATTATACCACAGTTTTTATGAGAAGTTATTAAAAATAGAAACCACATCAGGAAATTCGTCTGAATTTTGCTATTGAAATATATTAATAAAATTGAGAAAAGTCAACACTGGGTTAAATTCGAAGGCTTTTGTGAACAATGATAGCTATTTTGGAAAGATTTAGATATATAACCTTATCATATTTTTTCAACCAAATTTTCTTACCCAATCTTATAAAGGTGACTATTAAAGAGTCGCATCCCCTTTAACTTACATTTTGTAATTATTCTGGTGGCCTGTATAAACCTACAAGTAGGCATCATCCATATGTACGAGAAACTCAAAACATGGCCTTTATCTGTGGATCACAAAATCCAAAAATTCCACTTCAGGACGAAAATTATCAGATCTGAGTAAAACGAAAAAAATTCAAGCAGTATCTGCAGAATATTGATGAACGCATGATTTATATTCTGAAGATGATAGTGAATAATAAATAAATAAATTAACTAATAAAAAAATACTAAACAAATAAATGTCACATATACTTGTAAAAATTACGGGAAGCAAAATGCTTTCAAAACATCGACCACAACAAAAGAGCTTTTATTACACTTTCAAATGATTTTTTTTTCACAAAAATCCAACGATTGAAAAAAAAATTTGCACGAATTCAAAGTTCATAAGTGAAACTTTCAAGTAATTAAGGTTAATGGCAACATTAATTCCATAGTTATCAAACTTATGAATTTAAGTATTGATCTAATTAATTTGTTTTACGTAATGGACAAACCATAGAGATATATAGATTCTGTTTGTTTTAACTCTTATTTGTCGTGACTTCTATCCAGGTGAGAGAAATCAAACAGTTTATGACTGCTCAATAATAATTTTTTAACCTATTGACTTCTAAGTGGGAAGTGTGTCTCCATAGATAGAGCGATTTCTTGTTAAGTATGCAAGAAAACGATTTTGTAGTCCTTCTACAATGGTTTAGAGCACACGAATGATCGAAGGCCGGAATCCAACTCTTATCTTTAAAAACAAGTTATTATTATGAAGATGTATATATAAGTTACCTGTTGTCAATTTCTATCAGGTGCGTTGTTGTAGATCAGGCATTATTTCGCTGTTGCCCGGGGCCAGGGTCATATTGTAGGCTAAATAGTAAATGACGGTATAATAGAATTGGATTTATTTATCGACTAAGTTTTAGTGGCGAGATCGCTTTATCTGGACACTAGAACTTCGGTTGGACCGCTAGTCATTGGATTCATTTATCTGTTAACAGGGGCTCCTATTCTCTATGTTTTCCAGAATATTTTTATTTGGATTTCTAAGGTGTAGTGAGACAGTGAAATTCATTGTGCATGCATCAAGAAAATATTAATGACGTGTGTCATCTAAGATTACCTAGTCTTGTGTCTTAGGAATAATTACTGAGCCACGTAAAGAGGCATCTTTGGGTAAGTTTGTTTTTTTATTAATATACAGAGAAAGTGAAATTTCTCTACACAGAAATCATATTTTTATGTCTTAATGACATTTCATGCCAATTTTTCAAACCTAGCGACATTTAGAACACGGTATTTGTATGTTATGCTTTTATTTTTTTCCTTTGTATTGGAATGGAAGGAATATCCTCTTCTGTAAGAGATAGATTAGAAATACTGGTAAAATTTAGGCCACAATGTAATTCTTATGCAAAGATAACTTTTGATAATCGAATGAATTCTATATAAATGTAAATAAGGCATATATGTCGTTCTGTTCGTCGAAACAAATGTCGCAAAACAATTTATGCCTGGCCTGCATCTAGCGACTTGCTAGACGATAAAAGTTGATGAAGTCGACACTGTGTTCATTGCTTTATAAACTTATTTGTCCTTATCTTCCTAAGGTCAATGTCATGTCCAGGATTGTCCACACTGACAGATTTTATGATTACTTGTCAAAAGCAGAAAACAGCAAAGTTTGTGTCCTCATAATAACACGACATTATTTATAGCTTGTCATGAAACGGAAGATTTGTTATATTATTAAAAAATCCCCACCCGCTATGTCAACGAAAATGTCCTTGTGCTTCTACAGAAAAGGACATAGTAAATAAATTCGAATCATTGCCATTTTGTATTGTGTGTATTGAAATCGTCAGATTCAGCTTCAGCCCTCTTTTAAAACAGGGACTAAAGAAACAACTTTACATAGAATTCAATTACCTCTCCTTTCCCAATCAATTCTGGTGACCATTTGTAAACCGATGTTATTAGTTTTTCGCTGAATGAAGCTCAGTGGCTATAGTATTCCAACTCATCAATGATCCAAGGAGCAACTCGGTAATTGACGAGGCCCCACTCAGATGAATTTCATCTCCGGCGAAATAAGCACGTTTTTAAAGAAATTTTCTTGATAACATTGTCAGTCGTGGATTTCCTTTATCAATATATTGCAGTTTAGGACATTTTCTTCATAATCTGTTGAAAGTGGGAATTTTGAAAGAGGCACACAATTTGAAAGCTTTGTATTGGAATCTCATGATTTAGGGGGCAACTTGATCATGGTATTGCTAGTGGGGAGCAATATGCTTCAATCTGAGTCATTTTGCCTTCGACTGAAATAAGCCTACTTGATAAATTAATTAAATTAAAGACATAAAATAGATTGTTTTTATATCCTTTAAGCTGCAAAATTAATATGGTCAAAGAAATGATGATTTTGCTTTTGTAAAAGTAGCTTATGTTTTGTTACGCGAAAGGTACCGTAATTGCATAAAGGAGCAAATTAGTCTATGATTTCATTTTGTTTAACAATCTACATGTTAATATGATGTACTTAAAATCTTACAACGTAAGTATATTGATTTCTGATTAGTTCTAATGACCAAAGAACTTAAGAGCGTATACAATGATTAAATATGTCCTCCATCCTCCTTTCTTTTTATAAAGCTGTTTTTAAACATTTTGTTCCCAGAATGCTTCTATTCCTACAAGATTAATCTTATTACATTATAACAAGTACGTTATTCTATGTTTTAAATTTACATGAGTGTTGCTTCATTATTAAAAATATAATCTCTCACCTCACCTCACCTATCCTCTTCGTGCCCGCTGGCGCATAAGCCCCACCCCCTCCCCCCAATATAATCTCCTCCTTCAATTTTCGTGTGGTTTTTATAAAACTTGGTACACATGCAGTGGTAAAATACAGCAATGATATTATTTTTTTATCAATATTTGAACTGGATGATCGGTGTTGCTATGGTTACTAAAATGTTGAATTATGTTAAATTCTTCCAGAGAATTCTACTCTGACAACCTGGTTTATCAACACATATAATTTGCTTTACCAATTTTCATTTCATTGAACTTTGTTACCATGGTAACGCAATTATGCAAATATCAAAATCTGTTAAATTCCTTCGAAATATTATTTATATAGTTTTGGTCTTGTTAGACGAGTAAGGTAGAAAATAGTTTCAGAATTCTGTAAAAGTGAAACACATAAAGAAATATTACATATCAGACAATTTTAAGGTAAAACGAGAAGAGACGTCGTCTTATCAGAGACCTTCGATTTCAATATTTAACTGTCAGTGTCGATTTTGACACTTAGATAAATTAGGGCTTAATATTTAATACATTATCCCTGGGGTTTTTGCTTTCCAATTAACTGAGTATATGTTTATAAATTAAACAACTTTTTGCGAGTTTTCATGCTTTATGAGTATTTTTATGCATCCATTGTGAAGTTATATTCTTCAGTAATGGTTATTACAGGTGTTTAAAGGTGTAATTAGTAAAATGGAATGATTATAGATATGAACGTTTAAAAAAACAGGAATTTCTGACACACTGTAAACATCACCGTGTTGGGTATAAAAGCTTACAGCATAGCAAACATTCTTCAATAATAATATGTTAATGGATATGGATTTGTAAAATTAAAGTTACATCGAGTAATATAAAGTTTTCTTATCGTTAAGGGAGGTTTCAATAATCTTTATCTAGTTTACATTAGATCACAGAGCCTACAGAATTTTTTTTGTATATATTTCAAACTACCTTTACCCTGCTAGATTCAAGATATTTTAAGTTCGATCCGAAATTGTCGCCTCGGATTACTTTTTTCCTGTAAATGCACTAAATTCAAACTGATGAGATTTACATGGAAAATTTAGGAAACACAGAATCTAAACCAAAAAAAAAATGCTCTGCGTTCTGGGAATTATTATTTGTTTTTGTCTGTTACTTCATACAATGTATATAATATACGTAAAAAATGTCAAAAGATATACGAACGTGGACAAACTATGCGAACAACTTACGCAAAATTGTCAACATGGTAAATTATCACCCATCCCTCATTAGAAAGCATGAAAGTAGTGTGGTTTAAAACCGCATTTCAAACTTTTGTTTTTATTTTAACTTGAATAAATTTTATGGCAATGTGCTAGAATTAACTGATAAATAATAATTTAAGCAATAAAATGTCTTTGATTAGATGGGGAAGAGTGGTTACAACCAGTAACCTGGATTATTTAAATATTTTTATTGGAGTGACTGCAACTGTTCACCCCAGTACAAGCAAAGAAAAACAATTTATTGTTTATACTTCATCTGTATAAATTATTCACAAAAAGTGGTCGAAAGTACGTAAAATATTGTATTGTCGATGCTTACGTCACACAGATGACCTGTTGCTCTTTGTTTTGTCCGGCGTTTTGTCGTATGTATGTCGTAAACTTTTGAACATTTCAGTTTCTTCTCCGGAATCTATGAACTATTTTCAACCAATTCTGGCATGAAGCATCTATGGGTAAATGGAAACAAAAGCTGTGAATTTCTCCCTCCTGAAATGTGGGACCAAAATCATCAAAAATTAACGTCAAAAATCTTATTCTTTACTCCAGGCCCCAGTCAAATTTTCAATCGTGTGTAAAATGTTTATAAATTATTGAATTATTCTCTAAATTTGCGCATAGCAACACTTATGTGCAGCAATTAAAAAATATTTTAATTTTGGTCTGCTTGACTTTTTAAAACATTTTAGTACAACATAAAGATTTTGACTTAAGCTTAAGATGTTTTATGATCCTGGGGCCTTGGCATCAGTCAAACCATTAGAATGATTATAATAAGCAATAAGACCTCTAAGAAAATTATGAAATTCATCACCCTTGGGTAAAGGCTCTAGGGTGGGTCTTAGTTGGTCATATATCAAAAATGCAGTGTAACTTATAAACTCCTTTTTACTCATGGATATTTAGCAGGCAAACTTATTTACATGATTATAAAGATTAATTATTTTTCTGTTTATAATTCTTATATTTATACCGCCAGAATCCATGGCTCAGACATTAGGATGGGAGTTTGTTGGTACGATATATTGAAAATATATTACATCATTGGAAATACTGTTATCTACTCATGGTGATTAAACTGTCAAACTGTTTAAAGCAATATGAGCTGTAACTTTGGTGTCAGAATTTTTTGTTGCAAAAATGTAATTAACTATTTCAATAACAGAAAAAAGAACGTTTATAAACTTCTGTTGTTCATTTTTGCGATGGATTGATCGATTGATCGAATGTTGTTTTACGTCAAACTCGAGAATTTTTCACTCATATAGAGACGTCAACATATACCGTTGAAGGGCTTAAAAATTTTGACCTTTACTCAGCACTCAGGGCCATTGAGCAGTGAGGGTTCTTTAACGTGCCAACGCCTACCGTGACACGGGGCCTTGGTTTTTAAGGTCTCATCCGAAAGACCCGCAACTTTCACTTCAAAGTGCCGAGCGCTTGGCGAGGGAACAGTTGCTACCTATTTTTATCGACTTAGGACAGTCGCGGTCGTGATTCAAATACACGACCTTCCGATCACGGAGCGAGCGCTCTACTATTTGCGATGGAAGAACTATTTATAAGCTTTGATCAAGTAAAATTACATTATTGTCGTCCTGTACAATATTGATTTCTTATATAATACTATATATATTTGATTGTACAGAATCCTTTATTCTGAAACAATTTGATACTTTATTTCTGTCTAATTGATCAAAAAGGTTTAAATTACATACAAATTTATCATAATAACACATTTTAACAGCAAAATAAAATTCTCAAAAATGAAGCTCATATTGCTTCAAATGATTATGATGGACATTAAGCCTCTTACTAATGTTGTGAAATTGATCCCCCCCGGCCCATTGTTCAGACCCAAAGGGTGGGGCAAGGTTGGGCATATATAGAAAAATCATTACGTATCTTTGGAAATCTTTTCTAAGGTAGATATAGTGGGAAAACATGAAACGATTTCAAAGAGTGCGTTACCAGTTCTTAAATTCATGCCGATTGAGTCCACCGTTCGAGCTCCAGGGTGGGGCCATGCTTGTCATTGAAAATACAGAATAGTTTTTAAAATCTTGTTCTATACTCATGGACATCTAGCAGGTAAACATACATGAT